GCGACGCGTCGCGTCGTCCGTCGCCGCAGTCTGTTGTCGTGTCCTTGCCGTGTAAACAATTGTCGTCCGCATCGAGTAACGTGTGCCTTTTTACAAGTAATTTTTAATAATTAATCGGTACACTGAGAGAATTTTCTCTTAAAATTTACCCTAAAAGTTATGGTAATTGTGAGACAATACGGTATGAAAAGAATTTTATTAAAATTTCTCTGATTAATATTTATCACATTAAAAATCATATCTATCATAATAAAATATGAAATATGTGTGATTAATTTTACTAAACTGTATAGTAAAATTAATCAAACATATTTTATATTTTCTTGTGATACATATTATTATTTTTAATATGATAAATAGTAGAGAAATTCTAATAAAATTCTTTCCACATCATAATGTTCTACGATTACCATAATTTTCTAGGTAAATTCTAAGAGAAAATTCTCTTAGATTGTGATTATGATTGTCGTGTCCTTGCCGTGTAAACTATTGCCGTCCGCATCGAGTAACGTGTGCTGTGCGCGCCGCGCGTTTTTACAAGTAATTTTTAATAATTAATCAAAACACTGAGAGAATTTTCTCTTAGAATTTACCCTAAAAGTTATAGTAATTGTAAGAGAATATAATATGGAAAGAATTTTATTAGAATTTCTCTGATTAATAATTATCACATTCAAAATAATAATATTTATCACAATAAAATATAAAATATATTTCATTAATTTTACTTTACGGTTTAGTAAAATTAATAAAACATGTTTCATATTTTATTGTGATAGATATTATTATTTTGAATGTGATAAATATTAATTAGAGGAATTCTAATAAAATTTTTTCCATACAATATTATCCTACGATTACCACAATTTTCAGGGCAAATTCTAAGAGAAAATTCTCTCAGATTGTGATTATGTGTTGTAATTTGTAATCAATTATTTATTACAATAATTTTTAATCAAGTGCGTGAGTCAAAGTGTCAATAGAATTTATTACAAAAAAATGATTTCATTATGCAGTGTGTCACAGTGTGTCAATATCGGATTGTATCCAGTCAGGCAACAATTATTCGTCAAAGGACATCAAACATCTCTACAAGGTAAGAATCAGTGAGAGAGAGAGAGAGAGAGAGAGTGTGTGTGTGTGTGTGTGTGTATACGCGTACACACACACGCACACACACACACACACACAAAACGCCGCGTGTAACAAACAGCTGATCGCTTCGAGCGCCCACGTAATCGCCCGCGTCGGATAATGTGGTGCGCCGCTCCTGATTACCGCCCGTACTCGTGCTGTAATTCGCTAACTATTTCTTTTTATATTTCAAAAACTAAGCTTCGGATAAAATTTTGGCAAAGGAAAAATCGTCTTAGAATTGAGTCAGGAATACGACATTTTAAGGACAAACGGTTGTTTTGAATCACCCTGTATAGTGTTACGTCCTCCGGACGTTCTCTCTCTCAAATCACTCGCACACTCTCACACACGCGGAACACGCCCGAAAAGGATAAAGACTCTTAAGGTGGTACTGAGTTTTAATATGAAAATCCAGTACAAAAGAACGATGCAATACAATAAATAATATGTATTATACAAATGCTCATTGGCCTCGAAAGCGTCTGCTCGATGCGACAGCTCGACCAAATGTGTCATGGAGCTTCAAAACAACCACAGGGCGGTTGTCAATAAACAACCCCCTTAACGATGAAGTTCCACAACGACACACAAGGGATAATATTCAGGGGATGAAAGATCAGGGACGTAATACTGCCCCCTTCTTCAAGATTGTCGTCCCGACAATCAGAAACAGAGGGTTATCCAACGTTGTTTAATAACTCTGCATTCCGATGCCGATCTCAGGACTCCGACGAATTTTCCTGTTCTACCCTGGGCTCCTGCCACAGGTTACCGAACAATCCGCCATTCTGTATCCCGTCGCACATCCATACAAGCTATCTCCGTATTTCGATGTCAAACTTAGGATTCTGACGAATTCTCGTTCCACCATAAGTTGGTAGGCTCCCGCCGCAGGTCGTTGAACTATATTCGCCAATCCAAGTCTGTAGTACAACTGCATCAATTGTCGATTCCATGACACCGACGAGTCTTCCTGCCCTACCCTGGGCTGCTGCCGCAGGTTACCGAGCGACTCCGTCAATTTGATCCCAATCGACTTTCAGAATTCCTTGAAGATAAGTCCCGGTCTCCCTCCATCCTCCGGTTCAGACAAGGGGGGGGGGTATCTTCCGTGGACCCATCGTCTTTCATGGACTCCCCAAGTCCCTGTCTCGGCATTCGCCCAAAATCCCGCGGGAAAACCACGGATCAAAAACCGCGGGCGAGACAGTCTTCTTAGAGTAGAATAAAGACGAATGAAGATTTTCTCCCTCGAAGACTAAGCTGGGAGATCAATTTTTCCGCCTTTCAGGAAACTTTTCTCAGATCAAAGACAAATCTCTTTCCAAATTGAAGACTCTATAACGAAAAATAAAATGAGCAGTAACTTATTCTATTTTTTTTTCTTAAATTAAAACATCCCCCCCCAATTTTAAAGAAAAATCGACATTTCCGGGCTCCAATCTACTTAATTATTTTTCTAAACTTCTCTCGAGAAAAGGAGCTAATCTATCTGAATGTACAATTTTTTTCTTATGTCTAGACGATCTTTCTATACAAAACACCACATCACTAAGTTTCTTTACTATCCGGAATGGACCTTCCTAACTTCCTTGTAATTTCGGAGCTTTCCCTTTAATCCTACGAGGATTATAAAACCAAACCTTCTGTCCTACTTTGAAAAGAATTCTTCTGGCACTACGATCATAACGAATCTTTATCTGAGAAGATTTCAGATTCATTCGCTCCCTAATTGAAGAATGAATTTCTTCTAATTTCTCTTTTAGATTTCTAATAAAATTTTTTTTTGAAAGTCTTCCTTCAGAAGATTCAGGATTTCCTCGTAAAAGATCCACCGGTAACCTTAGTTCCCTACCAAAATATAGCTCTGCCGGAATCACGTCAGTGGTTTCATGCTTCGAAGATCTGTAAGCTAAAAGAAACATGGGAATCCATCGATCCCAGTCCTTTTGATCTTTCGATATGTATTTCGCTAAGAAATTTGAAATAGTCTGATGTTGGCGTTCTACTTGTCCGTTAGATTGAGGATGAAAGGCGGTAGTCCTAGTTTTTTTTTATTCCGAGTAATTTCATTAATTCCGAGAAGAGTTGTGATTCAAAATTCTTCCCTTGATCGGTGTGAACTTCACTTGGAATTCCATGCCTTGAGATAAATTGATTAACAAAGACTTCAGCGACTATTCTAGCTCTGATATTTTTAATAGGAAAAGCCTCCACCCATTTAGTGAAGCAATCTACGATAACAAGCAAATATTTGTTTCCAGATCTTGTCAAAGGAAGAGGACCAAGTATGTCTATCTGTATTCTCTCTAATGGAGCTCCAACATTATAAATTTGTAGAGGAGATTTCCCTTTTCCTGAAGGACCTTTCTTTGAAACGCAGATTTTACAGGTTTTGCACTATTCCTCAACATCCTGTTTGCAGATTGCCCAGAAGAATCGTTTTCAAATTTTTTCTAGAGTCTTATTGGCTCCGAAATGTCTTCCTGTTGGAGAATCATGTGTCTCCTCTAATATTTCTTTTATTCGTACTCGAGGAACCACGAGTTGGAGAAAACTTGATTTTAAATTTGGAGCTTCCCATTTTTTATAGAGGATCCCATTTTTTACAATCAAAGAATCCCAATACGACCAATATATTAGAGTTGAAATGTCCTCTCCGACTATTTCTGAGCGTGGGGGACGAATTTTTGTTTCCTTGGCACGAAGAATAAATGAAATGTCAGGATCTTGTCGTTGCATTTCACGCCAATTTTCCAAATTTTCGCCTTCGAACACTATACGAGAAACTGTTTGTTCCCTCTCCTCCGAATTTTTTCTTTCCACTTTTGCACAATATTGACAATTGTTTGATTCACAAAGTTTTCTAGACAATCCGTCAGCATTATTGTGAGAAATCCCTTTACGATAGATAATCTCAAACTCGTATTGTTGTAATCTTTCCATCCATCGAGTTAATTGACTTTTCAAATCTCTGAAAGATAAAAGCCATCGTAACGAAACATGATCCGTACGGATTAAAAATTTTTGTCCCAAAAGATAATGACGAAAAAACTTTATAGAATCTACTATCGCTAAAAGTTTCCGACGAGTAACGCAATAGTTTCGTTCGGCTTTATTAAGCACACGACTAAAATAAGCAATTACTTTCTCTTCTCCATCTTGTTTCTGAGACAACACTGCACCGATTCCTATATTCGACGCGTCAGTATCTAATAAAAATTCTCTCTTTTCTCTCGGAAAGGAAAGAATTGGAGAAGAACATAATAAAAACTTTAACTTTTCAAAAGCTTTCTGACATTTATCTCCCCATACGTATTTAGTTTGATCTTCTGTCAACATGTAAAGGGGCTTAGCTAAGGAAGAGAATCCTTTAACAAATTTACGATAATAAGAACAGAATCCCAGAAAACTTTGTAATTGTTTCTTTGTGTGAGGTATTGGCCAATCTTTGACAACAGAAATCTTATCGGGATCTGTAACAACGCCCTCCACAGAAACCACATGACCCAAATATTTTACACTTTTACTAAATAACACACATTTCTTCGGGTTTATTTTTAAATTTGCTTCTCTTAATCGTAAAAATACTGTTCTAAAATTGTTTATCATTTCAGTAAAAATTTTCCCAAAAATTATCACATCATCCAAATATACAAGGCAAATTTTTGATAATAAATTTTGTAAAACTTTTTTCATAAGGCGTTCAAATGTTGCAGGGGCGTTACACAACCCAAAGGGCATAATGGTAAATTGCCACAATCCTTTACCTATTGAAAAAACCGTTTTCTTTTTATCTTCGGGACGGATTTTAATTTGCCAATACCCACTTTTAAGATCAAGAGTGGAAAACCAAGAATTACCTGTTAGCTGGTCAAGAATGTCATCAATTCGGGGAAGGGGATAAGAATCCTTAATAGTCACCTCGTTTAATTTTCTATAATCAACACAGAACCTTATAGAACCGTCCTTCTTTTTAACCATGACAGCAGGAGAAACCCATGGACTATTTGACTCCTCAATCACTCCACGTGAACTCATATCCTCCAAAATTTTATCGACTTCTCCCCTCATTTGAATCGGAATCCTACGAGGAACCTGTTTTATGGGAGGAGAATCTCACACATTTACAATATGTTCTACAACATTACAATTTCCCGCAATAATGTCTTCAGAAAATAAATCATCAAATTCATTATAAAAATCGACAAAACTTTCTTTTTCTATTTCAGTTAAATGTTGAGAATTCATTTCATAAAGTTCTTTCAAGGGGATCAGAACTTTTTTAAAAGAATCTTCAATTCTAGCTATTTCTTTTTCAAACATCGGAATTCCAAAAGCCGATTCAAAGATTTTTTCTAAATTTACCATTTTTAGAAAATCTATTCCTAAAAGACATTCATCATTTATGTCTGCAATGAACATTGGTATTTTCAACGAATATTTCCCTAATTCAACTTTAACTTCTGCCCAAAACTCTACACGAACTTTTTCTCCGGTGGGATATCTCAAATTAACAAAATTCTTACAAATCTTTCTTTTCTCTTTATCAACAAATTTGCTATTTATTATGGAAACATCGGAGCCCGTGTCAATCTTGAAAGAACATACTTTATCATCTACTTTTCCTTTAAAAATGAAATAATCATTATTCTTAATTCTATTAACATTTAATACATTTTCGAGGAATTTTTCACGGAAGCCAAACTCTCCCCGCTAAGCTTGGCTAAACCAAGTTTCTCTTCTCAATAGGACATTCGTACCGGAAATGTCCGATTTTCCCACACGTCCAACATTCCCTTTGGCCGGTGCTAAATTTGCTGCCTGGCCAATTCCCTTTTCCGTTATTTCCTTTCTTATTACCTTTTTCATCTCGTTCACCTTCTAATTTATTATCCTGCGCGTTCTTTTTTCCAATACTCGAAAAATTTTTACTAAAATTAAAATTTCCTCTCTTTTTCTCGTAACCCTCCCCTTGAATTATTTTTATGGCTTTTGCCCTTTCAATTGCCAAACTCAAAGAAGTTATGTTTTCCAATTGTAAAGTTTGTTCGACAAAATTATCATATATCGCCGAAATGAATTGCGCGCAGGCGATTTTATCTCGGATTTCGTGTGGGCACGGGATACGCAAGGCGAACCAATCTTTCGAGTTCCGAACCTAATGTTGCCAAATTTTCCCCAAACTTTTGTTTCCGATTTGTAAATTGTACGTAATAATTTTGCGATAAGAGTCCTTCTCCAAAACGTAATTCAAGTTTTGATTTTAATTCGTTAAATTCTAAATTGGACACGTCTTCTACCGTCTCTAATACCGAACGCGCTTTTCCTCTTAAACTCGAAGCAAGTGCAACAGTCTTTGTCGTATTATCCCAACTATTTGCTTGAGCAATTAAATTAAACTGTGAGAAAAATTCACGAAGTGATACTGTCCCGTCATAAGTATCAGGTTTTAATTTGAACCCTAATATCGCGCGAAAATCATTCTCTCATTTAAAAAGCGCGTACCCGAATTTCCACACAATCTATTAATAGAAGGACTTAGCTGTAGATTTTGTGGTCGGCAATGAATCTGTTTTAAGGCTTGAAGTTCCTCGTCGTGACGACGCAGCATCGCCGTAATTTCGTCCTCTCGACGTGTCTGCTCCTGTCGCATCTCTCGCATCTCAAGAAGGAGGACCCGAAGAGCTAGACTCTGTTACTGCCGGTTCCCCTGCGACTTCCGGTAACGAGTCCGTTTGCTCTCTTGATTCCTCGCTGCCAGTCGTTCGAGACGGAGCTTGTGAACGGGTAATCCTCGGGGAATGTATCATTTTCGATGTTCTGTTCTGCTGCGGTGAGATGTTCCTTCGATCCGATCCCGGACGAGCCCCCAAAATGTTACGTCCTCCGGACGTTCTCTCTCTCAAATCACTCGCACACTCTCACACGGAACACGCCCGAAAAGGATAAAGACTCTTAAGGTGGTACTGAGTTTTAAAGAGTTTATGAAAATCAAGTACAAAAGAACGATGCAATACAATAAATAATATGCACAAATGCTCATTGGCCTCGAAAGCGTCTGCTCGATGCGACAGCTCGACCAAATCTGTCATGGAGCCTCAAAACAACCACAGGGCGGTTGTCAATAAACAACCCCCTTAACGATGAAGTTCCACAACGACACACAAGGGATGATATTCAAGGGGATGAAAGATCAGGGACGTAACAATATATATATATCCTTAACATAACTAGTGTGTCTCTTTAGCATTAGTCTTTAAGCATTAAATCATATTAAGTCACTTAACTAAATGTAAGTACATGAGTTAACAATATATGCATAAAACTTTAATAAAAAGTTTAAGTAGTACCAATCATAAAAAATAAAACTTATTCTTTTTATGACAACTTATATTTTATATTATTATTAAATCATGTCATGTTTAAATTTTTCTGCACCTTTGCTATGAAAATATTAACTTCACATAATTATGTGAGGATTTTAACTTTTTACAACTTAAGAGAGACTAAAATACTTAAATTATTAAAGATAATATTAATTAAAAAAAGCAAAGCATACTATTAAATAACAATGAAAATACCACTAAAGATAATGCAAATAAAAAATAAAACAAAAAATATGCACAATCAACAAAAATCATCTCAGCTTGAGAACCGTATAATAATGAAATCATATTATAATCTTTGGTCACAGACATTCACAATCTCTCTGATAGCCAACAGAAGTATTTCAATAATATGAAATTCTATAATAAAGAAACAAGGAAAAAATTAAAGTATTAATATACATTGTCAAAACAGAGAAAAACTATACTTTACACCACTTACAATTCTATAACTTCTCTAGGAGTCGGTTCATTGCACTTTGATAAACTTCAATAGTACGATCCTGTTGCTCCATACGCTCAATATGTCTTTTCTGCTGAGCCTCTTCTTTCTTTTAAGATTCCTCTGCTTTTATTAAATTTTTATACAAATTTTTGATATTTTTTTCAATAACACTTTTCTTTCTCTTTTTCAAAATAGAATTATAGCTATCATGTTCATTATTACCTTCACTATTGCTACATAAAGAAAAACACGTTAGAAAAAGAGATTGCTGAAATGTTTTTTATTAAGAAAAACAAAAACACTATTAATTTACAAAAGGACACTGATAATTTAAGTAACATATACAACAAAATAATAAAGGTCGCTTAGTCTCTCTCTATCCGTTTGACATATTTGACGGAATGTCTATTAGACACTATTCTCCTAAAACATTTTTGGATTGTAATAATTCTTTCTTTCTTTTTTACAAATATGTATGAATTTCATCTAACTGTGAAATATCAATAGCGAAATTATGTAGTTTACTGAACCTCGTTTTCTGTATAGTATGTTTTTGTATAGTTGATCACTTGATAAGGACTAAAAATATAGTCGAAACGTTGTGATTGTAAAGTAATAAAAGAAATTTTCTAGTTTGGTCGAGAGAAAGATGTTTTAAAGTTATTTATTCTTTATTAGAATTAATAAAATTCACATCAATGACAAATAAATAATTTACTATCAATGTCCCATATAATTAGCTTATTGTTGATAATAATTGGAGATTCATTTTTTGCGACCACGAGTTTGGCATTCATTATTACATCGAATATATTTCCTCATCTTAACTATTACATTCAACATTTAAGCACTTTTGACGGCAAAGTCTCTCCGCTGGTTATCCTGTATCAAGAACAGGGTGCTTTTTCTCCTCACCCGGGTGTTTTGGCAAGGAATCTGAACGATGCACTCGGACATTACTTAGGTAAAAATAAGAGGAATCTGAACGGTGTTTGGGTGGTTAAGGACGCCTGGGTGGGGAATCTGAACGTAACCCTGAGGAATCATCAAATCAAGACGTTATTGCATTCGCCAATGAGTCCCGATTTAAATCCGATTGAGCATGTTTGGGATATGTTAGAACGTAAAGTACGCGAAAACTATCCCAACATCGCTGCTCTACCTTCGCTTGTAAGAGCTCTTCGGCAAACCTGACAGCGAATCCCTCAGGCAACAATACATCCGTTGCATTAATATACGAAACCAATTGCGAGCAGTCATTTTAAAAAGAGGAAACACGCGTTATTGAATTCACTCTCACACACATACACACACACGCACACATGCACGCACGCAGACATTACACATATACACACAAAACGAAGCGTAAATCCGACCGTGCGACCTCCTCGTGATACGCTTTGGGTAAAGTTAATGCCGGCGGTTTTCAAATTTTTTCAAATTTTGGTAGAGAGAAAACTTAAACAATTTGTTTTTTCTTTTTGTTAAGACATATTGTTAATAAAGGTTTATGTAGTGTTAATGTACTGAAAATCAATTTTTAACATTAATTGACTTTATTTTCCATTTTTCTTACTGAAATTAAGCAATTTTTTGAAGATTTGCCTTTTTCAAACATAGTGGTCACTGTGAAAAACATCTTGTAGCTGTTCGCCAATTTTTTGTCAATTCAGGGTACTTAAAAGTAGAAAAAAACGTGAAGAACAATTTTTTGTTGTTGTTCTATACATTGGTTTTTAGGTCAAAATGGAAATAGAAAAAGTCTGTAATTTTTACGTTATTTTTATTTATTTGTAACCAGTCTATATGTTTTCGTAAAAATTTTGGTTATTATTGCGTTCGATAGAGCAAAGTTTCACCTTTAATAATCTTTTTTTTAAAATTGCGGATTATTTCCAACAGAGTTATGGACGATTAAAGTCAACTTGCTCATTTTTCATTTAATCGGCGATAACTCAGTAATAAAAATTCGTAGAAACATTTTTAAAAAACAAATTTGTTAAGAAAACTTCAAGCTTTCACATCTGAAAGTTGAGAAATGTCGTAGATTTTTTTACACGGAGCAGGTCCGCAAAGTAAAAAGAAAATTTCTAATTTTGTTCAGTTCGTAGTTTTCTATATGTAAAAATTACCAAACTTACAGAAACTTTAAAAAAATAGTGAGCTTTTGAAAGTAGAGATTTTAAGCTTTAAAAATCTTTTTTAAATTTAAATTTGGTTAATTTTTAATGAAGTTACAGCTGACTAAATTTTGCCAATTTTTTCAGAAAATTTAAATGATCCTCTAATTATTATAAGAAGTGTATTATAAATATATTTTTGCAACGCCTGTTGCGAAAGTTCGATTTTCGATTGCTGTTTAGCGTGCGGAAAATGGTTTATTTCTCAACGATTCAATGTATGCCTTACTTTATTACACTAGTGCGAGAAAAGCATCTTTATTATTTACTTTACTGCGTGTTACTATGGTTACACTTTACCGCACTAGTGTGGAAAAAATCATCTTTCTTCTCGATTGACATAACAAATTTGAACGTAACGAAATTCACGCGAGACGAAATGTCAATTTGTTATAACCTTCACTATTCAAGAAGGATCAAATGGATAAAAGAAACGAGGGTTCAAGACCATTAGAACGCCGTTAGAACTTATAGAAGCAGCTGAATCTGCCACGAAAATTTTATTACCGAAAAAATCAAGAGATAAGTACATGAGTAAAAACATCTCAAATCGAACTTTCGCGATAGGCATTACAAAAAATATTGTATGTGGCATGTGCGGAGGACAACAAATACATCGCGGGTGAAGTTGCCGCATAAGCCGAAGGCTTATGATGTATTCACACTCGTACTCGCGTGAATGCATCATAAGCCTTCGGCTTATGCGGCAACTTCACCCGCGATGTAATTCGTTATTTTCCGCACTTGCCACATAAGATACTATTATTAAATCATTATGATACAGATTTTTAAAAATTTATTTTTTTTTCAATAAATACTCAAAAAGACATAATCAACGATTTTTTAATCAAAATGATCGGTTGATATAGTCTAATCTAAAATTTGGTCGATAAGATGTTTTTCACAATACAGACGATCTATTGTAATTTATATAAAACTTACAATTTATTTAATTGTTTACTCACATTTCCGACTTCGATTTGTACTACTTTCGCAATGCGATATACTTCTTTTTTGTCAGCAATGTCGCAATAATATGTGTAACATTTTCCACCAGCTATCCTTATTTCCTCCGCAATTTCCGTAAGACCTACATGTTATTTACATGTGAATATTTATACTTTGTTTATATTAGCATCATTTACATACAATTTTGTGTTTGTATTTTAAGGAATTAAATACAATTAAATAAAAATATACATATTAGTTACATGTTTGCGAATTTAGATATATGTAACACATATACAACGTAAGTTTGTTATATAATTTAGGAAATAATATAAATAATAAGGGGAAACAATTTTAGTGTTGGTGAATATATCGTACGATAAAGGGATTCATGTCAAATTATTTTTAACTCGATATATACATGTGTATATTGCCAAGGATATATTAATAGGTAATTGTGAGAAAACTTCAAAAGATTTTAGTCGCGTTGTTTGTTGTTTATTAAAAAGTTTATTAACCAAAAAAATATCTTGTAAATAAGTAAGATTTAAGCATAAACTGGGGAAAATTAAATATTAGACACATTTATATTTATATGGATAATATTATTTATTCTATATGCATGCATCAAATATACGGAATTTTATATGCATATTGACTGTTTATATACTAAAAACAATTTAAAATAAGTTACTTAATTACAAAAAATAATTATTTATTTGAAATAAAATATTTTCTTACCATTTTTGTTGATGTCCCAGATAATTACATGTGCACCAAGTTTGGCAAGCTTAATCGCGATTAATTTGCCAACTCCGCTCGCACCACCAGTAACGAGAGCAATTTCATCCTTAATAGATTTTGCTCGATATTTGAGAGGAATTAGTGTTAATATCACGGTCTCAGTAATGTGAATTATCATTATACCGATGAATAGAAATATATCATAGATGATGTGCACGCCTTCCTTCAGATTCACCATTTTTCGATTTCTAAGTGTCATTGAAAAACATTATATAAAATAAAACATTATGCAAAATAAAATAAAAAACAGAATAATTTTTTATTATTAATCTTTATTCAGTAACAATTCAACGCAAAATAACTATTGTAGTAACAACCCACATAGCAAAAGTTAATCCGAGGTATGTCCATCGGAATATATCTCAAGGAATTTTCAGATATCCAGAATACATCCGTATAAACCTTGAGGATGTATTAAGGATACACTAAGGATATCTCCCAGACAGCACAGAATATTTATAAAATATTTATAGAATATTTATAATAATTATTTTAATATTTTATAAATATTCATCATAAATATTTCATAAATGTTTTTGGAGTCTTAGATTCAATAGATCATAAATATTTATCATAAATATCAGAAAATATTTACAATAAATATTATAGTAAATATTATAAATATGTTTATTAAATCATTGCGATACAGATTTTTTAAAATTTATATTTTCTCTAATAAATACTAATAAGTTAGAAAGACATAATCAACGATTTTTTAATCAAAATGTGTACCGGATAAGTGGGAAGGAAATTCAATTGGACTCTAGCTAGATATGAAGAAGTTTTAAATATTTACAAATTTACAAATTATTGAGACTTATCTCTCAATATGTTCATGCAGATTTGTAATAAAATATAACATTAATAAACATGGTGAAACATAATACATAAAGTCAATTAAGTTAAAGAAAAAAAGGTTCGCATGTCACAATCTTAATGAGAAAAAAGATATAACAATGAATAAATTAATAATCTTGGATCTTATGGCCAACATTAAATATCTAGCTCATCAATTTCATTAAATACGACTGGATAAATAAGAGATGGTTAGTTATATCTAATTATAATCAAGACGGAAACTAAATAACCATAAGTGAATTATTTTGTGACAATTAATAACCAAAAATTAAAGTATTATAGAACATTGAAAGATAATTACAAAAATCTGAATATAACCAAGACGTCAAATAAAAGAAGAGAATAGAATGATTGCGAACCATAAATCAAACAATTAAATAGAATAATGAATAATAATTATATAAATACTGCGAACCAGAAATAATTGAATAGAATAGTGAACAATAATCATAAACATTGCAAACAATAAATCATTGAATAAAAAGTGAACAATAATCATATAAACATTGCAAATAATAATTAAAACAATTTAATGTAATTTAATATAATTACCAATAATTATGAATATCATCAAGATGTCAAATGAAAGAAAGTAATGGAATGACCAATAATTATAAATATAATCAAGACGTTAAATAAAAGAAAGTAATAGAATAATTGCAAACCAGAAATCAAACAACTTGTTATAGCTCGAAAGGCTATAATTATAAGTATAGCGGATATAAAATATAGAATTACTACACTTTCCGCGAGGAGATCGCTGATACAGCAGCGGGCCGGAAACCGCAAAGACGCAAGCTAAGAGCTTTATCTTTCGAACAGCTCTGCGCTCAAAATCTAGCCACGTAAGCAAAAGCTATGCACCAATCGGGTGCCTGTCGCCAGGCACCCCTTCCAAACAAAATAACGAAAAACCGAGTTCACATAAGAACTCGGGAGTAAACAGAGAGTGAGTTCAACTAGACCAACCACTCGAGTCAAGGATAACTCCCGACTTGCAATCAGACGAGTCGTTAACTAGCGTTCGAATAAATCTAGAGTCGCGTCAAACGAGCGGAAAAGAGAAACAAAGTTACCAGAGGTTTAGAAATAATTATACGCCGAGTCTTGATAAATTTGTATACCGATATATATTTAATAAAAGGGACTCTACATCTAATCAGACTACGATTTACTGGGAAACCCCGACGATTCGGAAGTCCACTTCCCAATCCGGCGACATTCTTTTTGTGTCTCACCCGAGTGAACACAACAAACTGATTAGTATATAACATAAGAATTTTAAGCCAAAATAAAAGAAAATTAAATTAAATTTTGTGAATCATAAATAAATCAATTTAATAGAGTACAACATAAGAATTTGATGAAGATTTATCAAATATTTTTCAGTTATGTTAATTCAAAAACTTAAGTTAATTTAAAAACTTAACTTTTATAAATCTCTTATATTAAAAATTTTTTAACCGTAAAATATATAGAAATTGATATGGCAAAAAGACAAAAAAGTTATAATAACGTGCTACACGCGCGCTATTATCTGATTTCGTTTAATGATTTTATTTAATTTTATTTTGAACAACTGTTAAACTGTTAATAACCTTCGCCGATAACAGTCGCTTAATGCAACTTATACAGGGTGTCCCATTTTCAAGGATTCACTCAAATATCTCAGAAATACTGCGTTAAATTGAAAAATGTTTTAAACAAAAATTGTATGGGTTCAAGGAGTACATAAAATTAAAGATTTGACCTTGAATAGTCATTTAAAGGTCAATGTCACCTTTAAGTTCTTAAATGGAATACCCTATTTTGCATTGCATATTCTTGTAGCTTATCTCGAGTGCTTTCCAAAACACTATAATAAGCGTTTTTTTCTTAAGTACTTTTTGAATTACCAGATAAGACAAGCGCGCGCTTCGCGCGCGCCATTGATTTTGTGTCTTTTGATTTAATATATGTATATTATTTTAAACAACTGTCAAACTATTAACCTTCGCAATGATAGCTGTTTGATATGAATATAACACACAATGCGAATCGAGATAACCAATTAGTAACGCGGAAAAGCGGCAACAATACATGCGAGAATCGATTTTACATACGTTTTTTAAAAAAAGGAAAGGATAAGCGGAGGCGTTACGACGGTCTTAGGCGCCTCTACGCTAGGATTAATTCGCGCTCACTAGTGCAAAATTGCAAAATTAAAAATCCAATAGTGTCAAATTCTTGCTTTTAGTGCTACCCAAAATCACGACGAGGATGTAGCAGGATAATAGTTCCGTTTTTTTGTTCTTTTATATTTTTTATATTTTTTGTTTTTAAATTTTTATTTATAATTTTTAGTTTTAATTTTATTTTGGTTTAATTTTAATATATTGTTGATTAATATATTATTAATAGTGGCAATCTAAAAATTACGTTTTCTAGCTTTGTGAACATTTCTATGATATCTTTGTAATCTAGGTTGTTGGTCAACTCATTTTCGATGGATAGAATTGCTAAATCGGATAAATGCGTTTCCGACATTTTACTTCTTAAATAATTTTTTATTAATTTAAATTTTGAAAAACCTGCCTTACCAGTTGTCACAGATATTGGCAGAGTTAATAATATTCGAAAAGCTATTGTTAAATTGGAAAATATTTCCAGTAAATCATTTTCAGCTAATTTATTTAAAATATTAATTGGGGATTGCAAGATGTTTTGTTGTAAATCTGAAAAGGTTGTTTCATACAAATTTATCTCGTCACACAATTCACTGGCATTTATATCAGAACAATTTGTATTTTTGTTGTAAAGTTTTGATTCTAAAATTTTGCATTGATTTAAATAAGTGATATCAGAAGTATTTATATCGTATAGAAATTTAAAAGCGTGACTATATGATAATTAAACTGATCGAATCGTTCTTTCAAGGAATTTAGAGCTACATCAATTATATAATTAAAAAAGTCTACTTTAAATTTTTGTCTAGCATCTGTAATTGGTTCATCTTTACATTCATCACTAAATTGTATTTGTTTATATTTTTAGCATTTATTTCAATGTCTGTAAAACCATTTTCATGATATTCTCTTTAAAAAAAACAATTACATTTTCAATTAAATTTATACATTGTAATATTTTTATTTTATGCAACTGTAAAGATTTTGAAACGATGTTAATTCTTTGTAAAATATCATACCAGCAGAGTACAGATAATATGAACTTATAATTTACATAAAGAAAAACTATTTTTAACATGGCTTCTTGTTTTTGGGAGACTATCTAACAATATATTACGTATAAAATTCGCTACGTTGTACAATGGACTGTTTATGAAACAATTATTCTCAGTAGTTTTCTTTATATATTTTCGGTGTTCCATATGCTTTCGGCAACATGCGGTCGCTTAATCTTAGATAATAATATTGTTTCTTTGTGATGTACTTCTTATTCAAAAAATTTTTTAATATATTATTTAGCTTTGATTCTATTTTTGTTTGGATTTTTTTGTACTTCTATATAGGTATATTTATCTTGTAAAATGTTGTTCATTTGGGAATAATAAGAATGTTTGTCAATTGCGACCGTGTTACCTTTATCAGCACATGCAAATATAATATCTGGATGTTCTGGTGTCTTATGTGTTCTGGTGAAGGCACATATGTTTTGTTCGCGAATTTCTGTAATTGTGGTATTACGTGGTTTCTTATCTTAACCTATAAATCATAAAATAAGCTCCATTTATAGTTTAGTAGATAGAGCTTTATTGCTCTCACATCTAAAATTTCAACAGAACAATTTAATTTTATCATAAAGATACTCAATGAAAATGGATATCCAATAAAATTTATTTTTCATCATATAAACAATAAAATAAAAAAATGAATAAACACTAGATTAAATAATAACACAAAAGAGGATATGCATTCAAACACAAAACACAGGGATAGAAGATTCATAGCTATCCCATATATAAAAGACCTATCTGAGGTCGTCTGCAAGAGTTTTAAGAATTCTGAATTTATAATGGGTTTTAAATGTTTCAATCGTTTGAATAAATTTGTAAAGGTTCATAAGGACTCAACACCTACAGATTGCAATAATAATGTCATATATAAAATAGGATGCAAAGATTGTGATGCTTCCTACATCGGTCAGACCAAAAGACAGTTGAAAACTAGAATAAGGGAGCATAAAAACAATATAAAACAACCAAACTATCTGTAATTTCACAACATATAATGAATAGGAATTATAACATCGATTGGAATAACGTAAAAAATAATGGATCATAAACCACACTACTATAAGAGATTAATTGCCAAAACCATCTAT